TGGTGCTTGGAGGAGAAGAAAAGACAAAAAGCTGAACCGGTGCCAAGAAGGAGCTGCAGCGACTCGAAAATGGGATTCTGTGCCGCACTAATATTTTGAATCAGGACTGTTCTGGAGAGCAGCGAGACGTGCCAGGAATGAGAATGGCTCCGGACGCAGGGCTGCTCACGCTGCCGGGGTTCACCAGCCAGATTAAAGAATTTTCTCTCTTCTCCTGCTTTTCTCTTTTGCCTTTTAAATGTAATTCTCCACCTCCCTCCCTTCCCCTCCCGGAGAAAGGCAGGGATATGTAGAGATTCTGGGGAAGAGGCAAGATCCTTTTCATTAACTTTCAGCTGATTGAAATCCAGCGCCCGTCCAGGCACATTTAATTTCTCGCCCCCTCCCTCCCTGCAACTTATAGGGAACACGGCCAGAGCTTGTCTCAAATCTTGGGCTTCTTGCGGGTGAAGGTGACTGGGGTTTCTTTTTTTGTTTTTTTGGCTTTGATGTGCCATTTCCCTCCCCCTGGCTAATGGTGTCAGCCTCCTGTGCCTGCTGCAATAATACCCAGGGGTGGTGGGTGCCCATACCAGAGGAGCTGAGCTCTTCATTGGGGTCGTGGCTCATGTGTGTGTTTGTGCGTGTGTGTACGACGACGATTGTGAGTGAAGAAGCAGAAGCTGGTAACAGAGACTCGGAGGTGGGGGAGTCTATGCATGCCCACCTGCCCACAAATCTGCCAGCCTCTCTCTCTCTTTTCCTATGGAGGACGGGAAAGGCTGATTCACTGGGAGTTTTTTGCTTGTTTCTCTATTGCCACTCCTCCCCTCTCCCCCCCACCCCCTGTGTTCTCCTCCTCCTCCGGTACCCATAAGGCTACTCTCGTAGCTCTGTATCATGATGCAAGGTTACTTGTAGGACAAGCAAACCTCTGCAAGGTGCAGCGCTGCCTGCATCAGTGTTCCCCTTCACTTCTCATTTGCTAGGGGACGAGCCAACTTACAAGGCAGCATGTTCCGGTGACGCTGTTCCCGGCTGAGCCTCTGCTTCATGGGGTGGTGGTGTTTCTGCTGCACAATCCCTTTCTTTTAAAGCCTGCCTGGAAAAATGACTCCAGGATTTAACTTGCAGTAATGCATGAAGTCGGCCACTTTCCAGGAGCCGATTTCATAGATTTCATAGATTTTTAGCGTCGGAAGGGGCCTCAGTAGGTCATTCCTGGGCAGGAAAGAGTGCTGGGGTCAGGTTTGGATTTTTATTCAGGTTTTTTTTCCTCTGAATCGGTGTTCCCAGAGTGTTTCAGTTTTCCTCTTTCCATTTCTGAGGGACAAAAAGAGGAGGTTGCCAATTAGTGATTTTGTGCTGTATTTTTCGGCTTGCGAATGGCACAAGAAAGCTTGCTAGGTCTGAAAGCCGACGCTCTTAAAACAGGCCCGAGCAGAAAGATCCTCTCTGCATCTGGATCATCCTTGAATTTGGATCTGGGGCTTTAGAGATGAAGGACAAGGCGATCCTGAATTTTGGCTCTGGATCTGAATGCAGCTACGGATCTTCCTTTATTAGCTGTCAGCCATGCAGCAAACAGACAGAGGGGAAGGAAAGAGGTCTTTAGTGAGGGTGTGGAGGGGAACTTCATTACATGGCTGGGACATCAGAGCTTTCAAACTGGTTGCGGGACTCGATTTGCCCTCCTGTAGGCGCTGCACAAAACAAGTTCCTCCCATTAATTAATTTATTTATTTTAATGCCATGCATTGCACTATTCATCCAAGCGTTTTTAGGTCTTGTGGAGATTCAAGCTGGGTTTGTTATTTTTTTCTCTCTGGTTTAGGACAATGTTATTCGCTTTGTGCAAAACCTCATGGATTTAATTTTTTTCTGCTAAGGCAATTGGGTATCATTTTGTCGTGCTGCCTGGCTCCCCTTGTCATATTGTGTTTGCAAATCTGATGTGCATTTGTCCACTAACCCTTTCTTAGGGCAGGGGGGTGAATGTAAATTTCTATCCAGAGTTAATGCTAATAGGGGCTGGATAAGCGTCCATTAGGGTATTCACCAGTTTCTGGGGGGAAGTACAGCGTAGGCCAGCGGTGCTCAGCCTTTTTAGACTCAAGGCATCCCTGGATAGCCTAGAGGCACCCTTCAAAAATGCCAATTCTTAGCTTTCACTTGTTTTTTGACTTCAGAAAAATAACGGAGTCACCCCTTTTTGTCTTGCAGAGAACTCAGAAAGATCACAACAGGGCAGAGCGTTTTTAACACTGTGGATCCCTATTTGAAATCTCTGGGTTTATCATGTGAATCATGTTTGCACACCTAACAGTGCTGATATAGCGTGGCACCCATCTCAACCTGCATGGCACCCTGGTTGAGAATTACTGGCATGGACAATGACTGTTCCTTGACCCTGCCTTCATCTTCTATCAATACCCCAAATAGCTACACAGCTTCCTCAGCATGCAGTTGGCTTGAAGAGACTTTCATAGTCTTGTAGATGAAACCTTTTGTGATGGTACTTTGGCACCTCTTTACTTCTGTTTTCTCCCCTCCGTGTCTCCTGCTGGTGAGGAGCATAACATTTTTCTTGAGGGAGCTTGCAAAGGCCCAGAAAAGCATTCAGTATGTCAGGGCTAGAACCAGCCAAGCAGTTTGGATCCGTCCGTGGGCCCCAGTACCCTCCAGAACCAGCTTTTCTTATGCAACAAAAGCAGAAAATATTATTTTGTGTTTGCTTCCACAATCTGTCAGCTTTCTTTCTGGAACTGATGGACCATATTGTGGCTCAGAGCCACTGCACTCATTAGCAAGCAGTGTGGAGGCCCCTGTTTTATTCCCCAGAAGGCTTCTCTTGGGACTTGTCGGGAGCCTGACTTCGCCGCACATGCTAGTGTAGCTGCTTCCCCTTGCTCTGGGTGCTCTGTCCTCTTTATTGGAAAGCTGGAGTAGCCTTGCTCTGTCAAATGCCAGGAATTGGGAGGGGGTTCAACTACTGCATGAGGGCTCAGTGCATGGGTGGGTTTTCCTCACCCTTTCCTCCATGCACCTGAACAGAGCAAGCCCTGCTCTTATGCAATATGCACATCCTTCCTTTATCTCTCAGACTTGAACTCCAAATTCTTTTACTGGTGCATTAAACTTCCTTGCATTTCTAACTATAACAGTAATAATAAGAAGGAGAATAAATAACCATACTACTACTACTAATGGTAATAATAATACATTACACTTGTATTGCAAGGTATCCAGCTTGTAGCTGCATTGGTCTAGAGGCAAAAGCAATCAGGACTTGTGGTAGAGGTGGTATCTTTTATCGGATCAACTAGATTTTTGGAAAAAAATGTCTTTAATTGCAAGCTTTCAGGCACAAACACCCTTCTTCAGGTGTAGGAGAAAAAGCTTGTCTTGCAAGGCTCTCAATCACCCTCAAAGCATGTGTTCAAGGGTTTGGCTACATGAGATCCTTTCCAACCTATGATTCTCGATCTACAAACAGTAAAAAAAAAAAAAAAAAAAGGCTTACAATATTGCTTTAATTCAGGTGAAGTGAGTATTATGTTGCTTACTGAACAGAAAGGTAAACTGAGGCATGAGGCGGTGAAGTGATTTGCCCAAAGCTTTAATATTTCAAAATACAGATCTCCCCTCTTTCTTGGTACTTTTAAAATGCTTTCTGGTATGCAAGCGGTGCTACACTTCGGGGTAGTCATTAAGAAGGCGTGCATCCCCCTAGAGACAGTGAAAGGTTGCTCCTGTGATCACTGAGTTAGCCAGCTGAGCCATTTGGGCAACCTGTCCATAAGCAAATTTCCCCAGGAGCCTCGCAATCATGACTGTTGTGCTGCATCTGATATATTTGCTTAGCTTTGTGCATCCACTGGGCTGAATGGGGGGCGATCAGCATATTTCCCTGAGACACAATAATTAATGAAATTCATTTTGCTTCCCTCATTCCGCTCTTCTTTTTAACACTCGGTAATGAGAAACGCCGCATGTTTGGAGCTGTTGTGACGTGACCTATCTCTGGAAGGGTTAACCCAGAAGAGCCTTGGAGAGTTATCTCTCCCCCCACCATGTTCTTTTATTTTTGGACTGGTAGCCTCACATTTCTGTAATCTAAATGTGCAAATGCTCTGCAGTCACGGTCCAGTAGCTGGGTTAATCTCAGACCCCTGGAGTGGCAGATGGCTGATTTGTTGCTGATTCCAGTTATAGAGAATCGGGCCACCTATTATCTCTGCACAGGCTGCTGCTTAAAAGGATGCCTTGGGCAAAACCAGTGCAAAGCGAGGGAAAGAAAACACTCTTCTGTGATCTGTGTTACCACAGGTGAAAATGTAAAATATTTAACCCTTGCGAAAGAAGAGCTTGAAAGGTGGACAAAGGCGGAGAGGGAGGCAGAGAGCCCTCCTTTTCTGTCTAGATGGGCTGAAGCAAAGGGGAGCGGGTGGCGATGCTGAATCGCTGCCACTTATCCTTTTTTTAAATGGGTCTGCAATGTGGTAATCCTTGGCTACAGCTCCCGGCTTTAACTCTTAAACAAAACAGACTGCTTGGCATCACACAGCATCTTCGTCCTCCTCCCAAGCCCTCCACAAAGGGGTGCAGGAGGAATCGGTGATACAACTCCCTCCCCTTCCGCCGTTTGGCACCTATCAACCTTTGTGGTGGCTTAGCAGGCTGAGGGGCTAGCGAGGAAGACCCCGATGACTCTCTTTTTGCTGCAAAACGGCACGGTGGAGAACAAAATTCACGTGACCAAATGGGCTGAACAGAAGCTTACGGACACCGCCAAAAATGAAGGGCACCCAGGTGTGGCCGCATGCAAGGGGGGCAGCCGCTCTGCAAAGCAGAGGGAGGGTATAACAGTTAGCAAGACCTAGGCTGGTGCCGGACCAGTGGGAAATGGCTGAGAAAAGAGCATATGGAATAGGAAAAGGCCGGACCAAGCTATGTGCTCACATGACTGTTTTCTGACTGTTTGTTTAGACAATCAAAATACGTATATTCTCTTTGCTCAGGAAAATGCCAAGGAGCTAGAAGGCGAGTTCGAGAAGAGAAGGTTTAAATTCCCCGTACAGAATCCAGTGACTAAACCTGTCAATAAGGTAAGCATTGGGGCTTATAACTTTTTCAGGCTTAATCTATTCGGATGCATTAGATGTAAAATTCAGCACATACTGAGATTTCTCCTGTTAAACGTACGGGTTTAAAGGGATCCCAACCTAAGCGGGGACTCTTGTCAATGCATGCGACTGTGATTTGGGTTTCTCGGGAGCCATTTATTTTGGGATGATCGGTTCTATGTATATGGGAGAACAACCCACTCCATGGCACTGAGACCCAGCGGGAAGAAAGGGCCTTACATCGACTGCTTGCCTAACAAGCATGCTTTTACATCCCCCCACGCAATCTGTGTCAATGCTACTGAGAGACAAGAGTGAAATCTCCACTACCCTCCTCCACTTGAACCCCTACTTCTTCTTCACCTATATGGAGCAATCATGTTTTGATGAACATGTTGATTTCATTTATTTAAAAAAAAAAAGGTAGTGCTGCCTGTGCACCCGATCGCACAAACTTCCTTACTCCCTGGTTTCTGATGGGAACAGAATTAGAAATATCAAAATATGGAGGCGACGTTGGGCTGACGTGTTTGAAAACCTACGCAGGACAAAATGAGAGAGGCTGATCTGGGATTATGTCACCTTGGCAAAAGGTAGAATATCTTCCCATCAGGGTAAGAGGCCCAAGTCTCATCAGGTTTTCAAATATCGACGTGTGGTTAAAGTAAAGGAGATGCTCACTTTGTGCTTGTTCAAATCTGGGGTTTGGTTGAACTCTGTAGGAAAAGTTTCTGAGATTTAAATGATAGCTGAATTGAACAGATACACATTTCCCCCAGGTTTCCCCCTCTGTCTTTGATTCTGGAGAGCATCCCCATTCAGGATGACAAATAAGCACATGCTTAAATCCCATTGAGGCGCCCAGCTTGATCCTGTTACTCCTAGTTATATCAACCTTGACGTCAGTGGCACTGTGTAAGCACATGTGTATACATATTAACCTGAATATGTATTCATGCTAGTGAGTGCTAAGGTGCCCTCCCGGACGAGGGCCTCCTTTTGTTAGTGACAGCAGATCCGTTCCATGCATGCTGACGTTGTTTAAAATAATTCACTCACAGGTTCCCTTCAAAAAATTGTCCTGCCTTCCAGAAGGGAGGCTCGTGCTGGTCCCTTCGCAGTGATGATTATAATCAGACCTGTCAGCCTTCACCGTCCATGCTTATCACTTGCCTTTAGGAGGGTTTTTCCTGAAGCCCATTACCAGTATGGCTGCTTTGGGGGAAAGAACCATGGTAT